TTTTTTTTTTTTTTTTTTTTTTTTTTTTTTTTTTTGCTAGTGTTAGCTCGTTTCAGGCATTGGTACTTGGAGTGGCTAAATATAGCTTGTGAGACAAGCCGGTTTCCCGCGGTTTGAAAACTGCTTTTTTTTTCTCTAGTGATATTGCAATGGTTAATAGAATAAATACCATTCAGACCAAAAACTTGTGCTTCAGGGTCCTATTTATATTGTTCTGTTTTGCTTCATCACTCGTTTTACTAGATTGCATTTACAGTGTGTTATATTGTTCTGTTTGATTCATCTCTCGTTTTACTAAATTGCATTTACAGTGTGTTATATCCATAGCAAAACTCTCTGCAAGTGTTTTCTACATTAGTAACGTTTTGTTCTGCTCTTGCTTCTATGTGTTATCATTTGACCGAATCTTGAACCTCTCTGTCTTTAGGTTTATAGCGTAGGAAAATAATTCCACACATATAATTCACTGCGATGTAGTTTTTAGAATCCGGAGGAAATACAGGTTTACTTCAAATTTTCTGGTATTGAAAAAAAAGAAGATAATCTATACCACAAGATTAGGTGTCCGTAGTTTTTGCTATGCAGCTGTCTTTATGCGTTAGCTACATGAACAAAACCTAAACGTCACTCAGCCACTCTATGAAGTTGGACAAAATGGCGAAAACCGACGTTTAACGTCTGTATAAAATTTGGCTAACGTTTTGACATTCAGAAGCACAATGGTAAACTTATTAGAGAAACTGTACGTACCACACTGGGACTGCTACATTTCAAAGTGTCTATAGATATCAGCTTACTAGAGGAACACCAGAGCTTGGTTTTGTGAGGTCATATGCAATTTTGAGGTTCTTGTGCTACTTGGGAATTCTGGAAATATAAATGGAGTTTCCAATTTGTCCAAAACTAAAAGATCAACGTTAGGGTGATCTTGGTTTATTTCACATTAACTTCTTCGAAGCTCAGAGAATGTTCTGTTTCTTCTATCATAATCTCCCATGTGACTTGTATGGTTCAGTTTCACCATTTTATTTTAGCTTTGTTAAAAGTTATCTTTACAATATATTTGATGAAAACAGAATTCAGTGTCGGTGTATAGACACATCATGCATACATCTAGAAACTTGTTTCATTTTAATTTGAGTCTCTTTTTAATTTGTGTTCATGTCTTTTCTCTTTCTTTATCTTATGATTACTACTATAATTCAGTATTATTGTTTTGAAGAAGACATATAAACCAAAATGCAATCATAACTCCCATTTCCATATACATCTCACATTCTTATTATAAGAATATGTAAATGAAAATAAAATAAAATGTAATCTGTAATTATTAGTCACAACTTGAGCTGCTTCACTGTGAAATCATGAGGGTCGGTGTGCATATTTGTTTTTGCAAAATGGTTGACTTTTTATAGTCATACATACTGATACAGTCAACTCAAATTAATAATATATATATATATATATAACCATATATATGGTTCATTATTATTGTTTTCCAAACAATAAAAATTCCGTTCTACATTTATAAAATTACATATGACTACATCTCACTGGTTTACTTTCTATCTCTTGAATTGAGCAGTGAAATTACAAGCGAAACTAAATAAAGGTCATTATTACTTATTAGTTGAGCTTCTTTGAGTTAGTATTGGTCGAATTGCAAATCATCAGTAATTTTTCATATTTATTCATACCACAAGAAAATAATTAGTCGTGTGGTGCATGACATGGATTAAAGCCATGCATTGATACTATTGTTACGTATAATAATTAATGATAATTACTTTAGTAATTATTAAAATTTATCTGCGCTTATTAATTATATCTATTAATAGTGGTGGGTCTAAAATGATTTACTGTGGCAGAGTAGAAATACTTTGGAAATTACTCTAAACTCTAATACGGAACCAAAAACCCACAATATATGATACACATACAATTTATTTAAATAAAATTCAATACTACATTTTTTGTTTGCGACAACTAATGTCTCGCACAGGTGCATCTTTATAGTAACACATATACATATATGTATATATAAATATAGCAATTATTTCGGAAATTTGGATCACTATAGTAACCCATACTGAAAACCATTGCTATATAACTATATTGATAACTAAAACTAAATATGATCACAATGGAATGACTTAGTACTCCTTGTCTTGATAAACTATGATGTTACGAATTGGTCAAGATTTGTTATTGGATTGTTTTTAGCTATACATGATCTGTCTCAGTTCTAAATAGCTGAATAACTAGACCAGGTTGGCATTTGGCTTCTGGCCACATCATAACGTTTGGTAATTGTAAAATCAAACCAGACCAGACGATATGTAGAATAGTGGTAGAATCTTTCACATGGAAGTGTTTTCACATATAACAAGTTTTTCTCATGGGACAAGAAACTGACAAAAGAAACAAACTTTCCCACGTGGTTCAATTCTTAGGACTTTCCGTCATGATTAGGGTTATGGGACAAGTTGTGAACAAATATATCTTCTCATCAAATGGATATACACCACGTGGTCATCGCCAATTCCCTAGGAAGCCCTAAAACTAAGAAGTCTTGGATTTGGACCGTTCATTTAGTCTTCAATTATGCAATAGTGTATAAAAAGTACTCTAAAATAATCTGTGAGGCCTTCTACTTAATGTGTCATGAGAATCATTGTAGGGTATAAGATAATACTATAGTAGCAGGATAGTTTTTGAAGGTAACTAAGGTTATGATTGGGAACCGCGGTGCGGGGCGTAATTTTAATAATTGAAGTGGAATGATACTAATGTTACCATTCAAAGAAAATGTAAACTGGCGGGGCGTTTTTCTACAAAAACGCACTAAGCATCTTTCTACAAAAAAATGTTTTTGTTTGTTCATGTTACTAACATAACGCACTTTATCTGTGAAGCTTCCGAATATGGTGCGGACCGTGCGGTTTTGTGTGCGGTTTTGTCTTTACTTTTTTTGTTGTTATTTTATTTAATCAAAAATCAATTTACTCTACAAAATTAAAACATTATTATCATTATAAAGGTAAAAGGTAAACAGTTATTTGAGAATTTATGGTTTTAAAATTTTAACTCAAACCAAATTAAGGTTGGACATAATATTTTTTTTTTATAATCTTTTTAAAATGATCGGAATTACATAATTACTTCAGTATTTTGTTATATTTCTCAATCTTACTGCTAAAATAAACTAAAAAGATATATAAACTATAACCAAACACTAAAATATATTTTTTATTTCAAAATAATACTAAGAGAGAATTTTTAATAAATTTGAAATCCTACTCCCAAACCCCTTTCCCATCACATTTCTCAAACTCTAAACAAAAAAATTTCCCATCACATTTCTCAAACTCTAAACAAAAAAATTTAGAATTGGTTATCTAAATGGTAGAAGTGTATATTTACTTATTTATTTTTTTTTTAAATTTGAAATCCTACTCCCAAGCTCCAGTTCTCAACTCTAAACAAAAAGTCTAAGATTAGTTAATTTAAATGGTACAAGTGTACATTTACTTATTTTTGATAAAACTACTGATAAACACATGTTATCAGTGTCATTTCCTTTAAATAGATAATTAAGAAAATTTCTAGGATAAACCTAAAAAAATTACAAATATAGATCTTAAAAATAAAAATGATCAAAATGGATCGAAATGTTTTATCAAAATAAGTAAATATACACTTTTACACTTTGGGTTAACTAAATTTATACTAATCATGTTATTTTTAATTTAGTATTTTAAATATTGTCATCAATTCATTTACATTTAAACATCAAATTTTAATTAATTAACATTCCTTCAACATTTTTCATAAATTAAAATATTAATTTTTTATTTCAAATTAATTTTAATATTTAAAATTGTATTAAAAATAAAATTATTATGACATATCACTAGCTAATTTAATTTATAACTGTACTATATATTAATTTTACATTATTTTCTCTCTCAAAACCGCACTACTCTTTTATCAAAACCGCACTATTTTTTCAACTAAATCCGCACTTGTCCCGCAAACCGCATGAACCGCAGTTGGACCGTACCGCACTTTAAATCCGCACCGCTTATATTATCAAAACCGCGATCACCATTCGGACCCTAAATGTGTAGATTAAATAAGAAAATTCTGCCACCTTAGCCCATGCGTATGTAGGATAGTATAAATAGTTGTCTTGAACGTTTATTCATACATTTGATTCTTTTTCTTCTTCTTTAATAAATCAACTGAATTTTAGCATGCTATAGTTTAACTAACAAATTAAAGTAGTACAAGCTAAGTAGCTTTTCACTGAGATTCTTCTTCTAGAATCCAAATTATAATAATAGCTTTATTATATTTGTTCATAATTGTAACTTGCAATTTCAGCAGGATCTATGTGAAAACTATTATATTGACAATTTTGTGGTTAATTATAACGTATAATCTTGGATTCGATATGAAAATAAATTAGTATTTTATTCTTATTTAATATTCCACATATATGGTAGGTGCCCCAATGAGAGCTCACCATTCACCAATCCAAACCAAAATTTTATGAGTAATTTAGTATACGTATACTATACATAAGAAGAGAAAATTATAACTTATATATGTTAAAATAGTAAATAATCTATATTATTAAAAGAGAAGTACCCATATAAAATACCCCTTAGTTTTCATTTTTATTTACAATAGCATGCCACTGAAGTAATTAATTACCCTACCTTATAGGATTCTTTGTCTTTTCACTTTAATTAATGCATTTCATATATAAATTTCCTAATTAAATAAATAAAATTATGGCAAGAATAATTAATGAAAATAATTATTTTCATATATAAATTTCCTAATTAAATAAATAAATTATATAGAAATTGTTTTACTAATTCCATATACATAATAATTAATTCCAATATTAATTAACCTACCTTTTAGGATTTTTTTCTTATTAATTATCTACATATCTTTAAATAGTTAATGAACAATATTTTTTTCAAAGATATATAATTATATTTTTACTATTTATAAGTAATAAATAAAATAAAA